TGTCCGTCCGGAATGACTCCTGAGGCATTGGCTGGGACCCTAGCCGCTTTTGGGTGCTCCTGGCCTTCGCTCTCTTGGAATTGTCGTTTGGATTGACAGCCTTCCATACATTTTAGAACCACAAGATTAAAGCTTTGATTCGAAGAGTATTCCATGTTGGGTCTCGTAGTTGTTCTTGCGTGTCTGAATGCACAAGATCTACTTCGCAGCCGAATGCATCAGCGTAGTGACAGTGGCGAGATCCACTATGTTGTCTTCCAGTTCGGCAAATTTTCTCATTTCCTGCAAGCGTGGTGAGCATGAGCTCGCAGGCCATGGAATCTTCACTCTCTGCGGGCGTGCTAGGCCGTGAGGGTTGATCTGCAGCCATCGGAGTTTGGCACTGCTCTTGCATGGCTGCTGCATGCATCACTCTAATCCGTTGCTTTGAGCCAAAGCTGCTCGCATTCGAGCAGCAGCCAAGGCTGCTAGCAACATGTGTAGAAGGGGGGCAAGACTGGGCCAATGGATTGGGTGTGTGGTTGCTTCTTGCCCTGTGCGAGTTACTTGCAACAGACTTGCTTCAGACATACTACTCGCGTGGGATCTTGTTTTGAAGCCTGCATTGTGACGACTCTAGGCGTGTGGTGGTTCAACGGGAATGCATAGTTGCCTAGCCTGTCATGAGCACCCCCACGGACTTGGGCACAATTCGAGACCTTACAACCCTATCTGAAAGATCCAGTGGTAAAGTCACCTTCACTGAGGTCCTCGCCTAGGGTCTTGGCTACATGGCCACCCATTGTTTTGATGCACCAATGTATGGAGCCCTGATGAGCTGAAGCACCCTTGCGGCGGCCCACAATGCCTTGGTGGCGCTGGGGTTTCGGCCCTGTCCTGCCTGGAGACAGTGTAACTTGGAGAGCGTTGGGCAATTTTCGAACAGATGCGGGCCAGTGCCGCACCCGGAGCAACGGTGTTGGTGCCATCATCATTCGTTCCAACGCATTGAAGCGAGCAGCATTCGGCAAAGGTTCGGACTAGTCGGGTTTTCCGTAGCACTTTTAGTCCTATTGATGTTTGGGCGGGTAGCTCTAGAGCTTCTTGGAGGTAGGCTTGGCACAAGATCAAGCACCTTTAGTTGGCAGTCGTTGACAGTTGACTTGAAAAAATGAACCGGGAGTGCAATGCGAAGATGTTTGTCAATGGGCTTTGAACTTCACAGCAAAGAAGTCTGGAGGAACAACATCACCTCGAGAAGGCCAAAGTTCTCATGATGAACTGATCTTGAAAAGGCAGTGAAAAGATCAAGCAGTTACAAGATGAACGAAGGTCAGATGTTTTGCCAGCAAGACCACCAGGTTTGCAAGGCCTGACAATCCTACGTAGACTTGGGACACAGATCGCATGAAGGAGAGGGCTGCGTACAGTGAATGACCCAAAGCTTCAACAGATGATGCAGGGCCACAGCCAAGTCTGATGTCCCACAATGAGCGTCGGTTTGGCATTGATGTTGAGATGCATGATAATGAGCGCGATTCAACCCAACCAACGCCGGCAAGGCCCTGGGAGCCACAACCAAATGGAAGTTCGGGAACGCGAATTCCAATTCATGAACAAACTTTTCAACCGGGCAGCTTTGTGTGCCCGGCAAGGGTTGAATAGGGATCGGACACGTGAGAATAGACTCCAATTAATGCATGCAAACATGTTTTGTTTACCCGAACATTTGATGTGGGCCTTTGCGGACAGGCAGGAAAAGGACATGTACATGCGTGGCACCATTCTTGTAAACATCAAGCAGTGTACCGTGCAGGCCGCCGTTTCCCGCAATTCAAAAGATCCCGCAATTTTGGGTCTAGGGGAATGTATCAATTTCTGCTCCAAACTTGTTACATTGACAAAATATGTTCATCAAATTGATTTTCAAATTTTCAGCTACCCGAATCGTGGACAATTTTGGGAATGCAACACTATGAGGAAAACACAGGTTGTGAAATTTCGCCGCACGTTTAATTGCTGCAAGGTTTTGCGGTTTGTTTTGTTTTTCAGCATCCATTCTCATTGAGAGAGCAAATATCCTTGTGGCGTCGCCCTTCGCCTGCAGCTCACAGGGGTATCAAAGCCAATCTTTTTGGCTGTGTTTCCCCGCTCTTTTCCCTTTGCCAGGAGCTTAGAAAGGAAACAGGTACACAACTGACAATTAGTGTGCATATTTTGTTTGGTCCATTCTTCCATGTTGCTTTAACGCCTTGTTTTGTTTTAGGTTCTCGCCCACTTGCTCAGCCTGCACCCTTTTGCCGGGTGCCAGAGCAGCTGAGGTGGAGAAGCTTGCAGCTTTTGTTTGGAAGTACAACTTTCATCGTGGTTAATTTAGCGTTCGCTTCATTTCAGTAGACTTGGTCCAGGGTTTTGGGTTTGACCGCAGGGTTTCTGTATGCAGGAACATTTATGTTTGTTTTCTATCTCTCCCTGTGGCAATCGGTCATTTGGACACTAGATTGAAAGAACCTCTTGATGCTCGGCTCATGATTTTCGATTTAGTACAATTAAAGCTGAACCGTTCAAATTGGTTAGGGGTTTGCTCGTTGTGAGGTACACATTTGATAAAGCCCGAACTGCTTCGGTTGTGCCAGGGCCTGCTTTTTCTATGGCGAACCAGCAAAGGCGAGGCCAGGCGAGAGCAGGCCGGTACGCATAGTGCGATATTGGGTGAAGGTAACCAGGATGTCCTTCTTCGTTTTTCTCTAGTTTTGATCATTAGAGCAGTATATAGTTCGAAAGGCCCATTTGTCCAAGTAGACAATTGAAGCCATCGGTCTTTGGCTATTTGACACCATGGACCGCGCTGAATTCTCGATGAAAGACGTTCATTGAATGCATCAGTCACGCGATTCGATGGTGGTTGGGCCCTGGTGCCCTGCTTGGCCCTCAGGTGAGGCGAGGGCTGGTGGCGGCCGCCCCGATGGGCCAGATGTGAACAAAGACCGCTTGGTGCGCCGGGGGTGACACACCGCCATGCGAATTCTACGCGTGAAGGGATGGTGTTTTTCTAGATGAAGAAGCAGATCAGCCCCCTCCGCATGAATCTATTTATTTGATCATTTTATGTTGTTGGTTTTCTCGCTGTCAAAGATGGATTCAACTGCTTTTCGACAGAGTACTGACTGGCAACTGTCGGGAGCCAAAGTGAATCGTGCCAAGTTGCTCGGCCAGATCTTCTGCATCACCAGTCTCATCGGCCAGAAAGTGACCGCATCATTGAGAAACAATGCTGTGACCCCAGAGGCTTGTTCAGCGCAGTGCATGGCTTGTTCAGCTGGGAAACTGGGTTCTATAAAACCGGATGAGCAGCTGTCGTGCAGGGATGGTGATCACTGGAAAAGGCTTCCCTGCTCACATGAAACAATTGTCCAGTGTGAGAACGCTAAGTTTGGCGAAGGCAAGCTGCTTGAGTGTCCCCCAACTAAGACCGGAGAAGGATAATTGAATCAATGATCTCTGATCAGCCCACAGTGGTCATCCCATATTGTTGTGGGATACCCCTTTCCCAAAATCTTCCATCTAAGCGAAGGTTGCAAGAGCAGCCGAAGGAAAACGCCACGCCAGTGCCGGGAGTCGTCTTCAAGATTCCGACAACGACCTCGTCCGGTGCCGCCGACTGAGGTTCAGTACGAGGGTACCTTTCACAGGCACGAGATGGTGAGACCGGTTGTTCTGTTGGCAAAAGTGACTTTCCCAAGTAGACTCTGTTGGATTGTGGTAGTGGTGTTAGCATGTGTGGCATGTGCCACACCTGATCCCTTTTGCTCACTTTTGCACACTTTGTGCCGTGAGTTGCGCTTTGGACGGCGACTACTCCATTACTCTGAAGAGTGCGCGGAGGCTAGGGATCTCATTTTCTCACAATGGACAGTTCTGCACACCTGCCTGCAGCTAGCAGATCAACAGAAGGCAATTTGCCGTGGGCGGATTGCATTGGGGCGTTTCATATTGCCGATATGATATTTGACAAAAGTCGAAAAGATGAGCTCATGGTGCGTTGTGCAAAAAACCTCGTTGGAGGCTTCCATCGGAGAGCAACAACAAGAGTGGTGAGGTTGCCCTGGACCTAGCGGCCACAAGCAATGGCAAGACTATCCAGTGAAGGAAGAGAGCCAACACAGTGAAGGAAGAGAGCCATGTTGCCGGTAGAACCCGAGGTACCTACACTGGTTGTTGCGGGCAAGGACTTTCTTCAGGCATCCTCATGGCGTCACTTCGTAAGGATCAAGCAGTTTCAGGATAGAGCTTCCAATTCCAGACACTTACTCCCATACTTAATTATGCAGGCGCCTACTTAATTCAGTAACCAGGCACGGCCACGTGGGCCACGGGCTTTAAACAAGCGAGTCCTTTCCAATGGTCGATTGAGTCTTTCTCCGGAGCGGACGATGATCGTCGTCGTCTCCAGGTCTCAGCCATGAATGTACCGCCGCTCTCGGCCGAAGAAGGTGGGTGGAAGCCTCTCGCCGCTCTAGTGATTTGGAATGGAGTTCCCTGAGAGCTCCCTGAGTCCACCTTTGATCTTGATTTTCAATAGACATTTTCAGAACAGAGCACTCTCTGCCAGGCCGCAAAGGTTTTGCCACCGATGCTGAAATCAGCAGGAGCCTTTCGCACGCTCCATGGTTGGCCATGGAGATGGTCATGTGTCCTCACTTTGAGTTCTCCATTCACTTCCTCGTTTGACCCGATGTTGGCTCAAGTCTGACAGTCCAATATTTAACTGACTCTCTCTGCTAGCTATTTGAATCTATATAACATTGAATAGCGGATGCTTTTGTCGGGACCCTTTTTCGTTCCACAGCTTTTGCTTTTGTCAAAACTTCCCTCGGACCAAAGGTGAGACTTCCCCAACGTATGACTAAAGATGAAAGCCTATGTCTTCTCATCATCTCTAGTAGGTTGGAGGCCATCGCTCTTAGGGGATGCCATCGCTATCAGGTTGCTCAAAGTATTTTTCTTAAAGTCTGTGTTCTCATGGTTACCCACCTCAACAGAAGGAACTCTGCGTCCAAAACAAGCCGCCAGCCATGCAGCATGGCCTCTGGAAGTTCCAGGTGAAGAACTCCCGCGGAACGTAGATGAAATGATTTCCACTACATGCGTGAAGTTGACCCACTCGTATCATCTTTTTTGGGATTAGATTTTATGGCATACCAATAGGAGTTGCATAGGTTTTGTAGGTGGTATTAAACATGAAGAGTAAGAACGATGTGATCATGCTTTCATTCAAGCTCTTGCTAGCAAAAAGTGGCTTCAGCTACCCGAGTTCTCCTTGCTTTAGTACATTAAATTGGGTGGCTTCGATGTTCCATTTTGGGGCACAGTGCCACTACGGCCCGTCACCCACTTGTACTACCTTCAGTTCGTGCGTGATGGCTGTGAAACAACTCCCCTGGTCCGATGTGTCTGGGGCTGATCTATTCATCCTCGTCCTCACCCATCCTCACCAATCCTTGTCCATCCTCATCTCAATCCAATCCTTTATTTTGCCTTCAACCCTCCAGTACTGTGGCCTCACCTTCGTAGCTACCTTTGCCCACCCCTTCTCTTTCGTGAGTGGCCAGGTTCCGAAGATCAAAGGGGAGCGCTGGCGCCACCGTCGCGGGCACGGTCTTGGCTTCAAAGCCCACAGACGCTGGCTGGGTTGTGATCTGTGGCGAAGATGAGACTCGGTTCAGAGACCAGTCCAGTTTGATTATACTGCTGGCTTCCAGCAATTGGGGCGATCCCAGCAAGCAATTCAAATAATTATCAAAGCTTTTCTTTGTTGGTCCCAATCGTTTGTTCCACCATTCCACCATGTGCAATCCTATTTTTGCCTTTGGAGTTGCTTCCGGTCGCACCATGTTTCAGTCGCCACACTCAGGTGGAGAACGCAGCAGTGCTGGAACAGCACCGCTTCGGCCTGCAAATGGCCTTGCTGGGCCAAGGGACTCCCGAGGGCTTCGTCGACCACGAGTTCCCTGCGCAGGCCAAGAGCATCGACGGTCTAGAGGGTCCACCCGTCCGAAAAGGCCAGGAAGCACTCATGGAACTCCTGACCGATCTTCGACCCGAAGAGGACGAGGAGGAGGAGCTGGTCACCGCGCCGCGGTGTTTTTGCGGTCGACGTGGTCGGCAAGGCCGGGTGCAGCTGAACGGGATGGTGGCCAAGCGGCCATACTTCCGCTGTGGCATGCGCAGTTGCCGCTTCTTGAGCTTCGGTGACTTGGCCTCCTCGCCCGAGGCACAGGCCATCGCCTGGACACGCTTGCGGGTGGGCGGACTCGTCGGTGCCAAGGCCTCGCTGGTGGTGGTGGGTCGTGATGGATTCCGGCCAGAAGATGCCCGACATGGGTCCCACTCCGAGTCACTGGGAGATGTAGAGTTTATCGAAGCATTAGCGGTCTTGGCTGAGCGCCCAAAGGTTTTGCAGAAGCTTTTGCCAAACGCCAACACGCTAACGCCAACCTCAGGTGAGACCTGTGGCTGCCATGAGGTGAGGCTTTGTATCGCTGGTCTCTGGCGCTCGTTTCTCATCGACGAACGTTTTCCCATGACACGCGAGTCAGAGACTCCCAAGAATCCACATGAGTCTCTTGCCTTTGGGCGATGTGCAGGAAACCAGCTTTGGATCCCCTTGTTAGAGAAGGCCTACGCCAAGGCACATAGCTCCTATCAATTCGCATTTCCAGGTAGTTCGCTGGAGGTCTTCTTGGAAGAGCTCACAGGGGCTGTGGTGGAAGAAGTTCGCTTGGGGCCAACAAGCTGCGGCAGAGGGAAGTCAATGAACGCAGATGAGCTTTTGAGTTTGCTTCAAGCCTCAGATGGGGCTTTAATAGCATGCAAAGCGAGGTGCCTTCCTGCTTCAGTGTCCTCAGTCTTCGCCATGTTGGAGCTCGCCGGAAGGCGCATTCGTTTGAGGAATCCGCGTGTTGCAAGTATCTCGGGTGCCTACGAGACGGCGTTGGCGATGTTGAAAGGAACGCCTGCTGAGGCATCGACATATGCAGATGGTTCCTTCTGGGTGAACTTCGAAGATTTCTTGCCGAGCTTCTCCCATGCTTACATTTGTCACGCAGCTTCAACTGGCGGTTCCCTGCAGCACACCCGAACGGTTGAGGGTGACTTTGCAAGTGGATTAGATGGCTTGGGCACTCGTGGCTGTGCTGTTTCGGTTGTGGCACAGGCCTCATGCCAGCTGTGGATTTCGTGTATCCAACCGCTTCCAAAGGCTGCACGATTGCTTCAGCCTGTGATGGGTCATGCTCCTTTGCCAGACAGGTATCAGTTTTTCTACGCCAGAGCCAGTTTGAAGGTTTTAGTGTCAGGAAAAAGGAGCCATTTCCATTCATAGGGTTGCGTTACCATGCTTTTTCTCCACCCCAGGTCTTGAATGACCTTGGCATTGTTGTCCTGCAAAGCACTGGCCAAGCGCGAGCAATTTGCTTTGGTGGTGCAACTGCTAGTCTCAGATGTCATATTTCTTTGGTCGCTGGTGAAGAGGCCTCTATTTTCCCAGTCAGTTTTCGAGCCTGGCCCGGCGCAGTGTGCCTTGGCGTGCTAGATTATTTTGTCTTTGAAGTCACTTCAAGCATGCTTCTTTGTATTGCTTTCTAGTTGAAAGTTGAACTCCTCTTCCCTGCAATGAGGGAACACTGAGAAATGGAGGGAACCCCAACAACAAACCTTTGTGAGTTTCTTTTTACTTTGAGACTCAACAAGACTTCCAAGCTGCTGTATTCTCCACCAATTTCCGATAAAAGTCTGCGCCCAAAAGGCTTCCTTTGTTTTGATGAAGCCCCCCAAAGGCGTTTGCGGCTGCAGTCTTCTGAGCCCATATCGATGAAGTTGGAGGCGCCTTCCAAGGCCGACGGCTTGTGGGGTTGTTTGTGGGGCCTGGCACGTGAGGGGCACGAGTTGGGGTTGAGCTGCCTGCGGAGCGTGCGGAGCGTGCCAGTGAGAGCGCACGATGGCACTGTCATTGCATCGACGGAGCTGCTGATTCTACAGATGGACGGAGCTGCGTTCTTGATTCTGGAGAACCCAGATGCTACGGAGACCTTCCTTTTCGATGGAACCATTGAAGGCAATTTTGTCGTCACACACACAGCTAGAGGTGCTCAATTAGGTGAGTGGTGCGAAGACAAGAATGATGACAACTTTACGCTTGGGGTGCGAAGTCATTGGCGCCGGTACAAGGTGGAAGATATTGTCCCTCCATCCTGCCGGCAGTTGGTTTCCTTTCATTTTGCTGTGGGGAAAGAGTGGGATGTCAAGGTTTTGTTTGCACAGGCCACGCTGGCAGACAATAGCATGATTGGACATCGTCCCAAAAACCATCCTTTCAGTCCTCATGCGATTCTGAGTTCCTCATGCGATTCTGAGCTCCAAGGCTCTGAAGCTCAGCATGCCCTGCCAGTGGCCTTGGAGTTGTTGGACTCGGAGGATCAAGAGCTTCAGCTTGCACTCGCTCTGTCGCTCAGCGATCAACCGGGGAAAGCGGCGACGGAGATGGCGACGGGACCTACGGGACCTCGGCGTTGGGGACGCGGCAAGGAGAAGTCAGAGAGGTGCTCTGAGAGGTCTCCTTGCCCTGTTTGCTTGGAGCCGATGATGGTGAAGGCACTCGTGCCCTGTTGCGAGGTGTGTGTCTCGTGTGCTTCACTTTGGGCACAAGAGCAGGAGTCACAAGGCTTGGCCGCGGATGAGATCTCGTGCCCGTTGTGTGCCAAATGCCTGCCTCACACTTCAATGTCAGCTTTGCTTGGAAAGGAAGCACTGGCCAGAGCACAAGACAGGATCTCCCAAAGGAAGCTGCAGGCTTTGCAGTCCCAGAAATCCATTTTGCCGAGCAGCACCTTGATTCGTCTTGGTCTCAAGCAATGCCCTGGCTGTGGAGAAGGAATGCAGAAAGAGTCGGAGACGTGTCACAAGATGATTTGTCGCACCTGTCGAGCACGCTTTTGTTTTCGATGCCTTTCCCGGCTGGAATATTTTAACTGTGGATGCACGGGAGCAGAGCACAACTTTGTAGACCCACACAATGGACGCATCTTAGCTCATCAGTAGTTCTGCGATGAAGATCGTCGCTCAAAAGTCCGGTGCAAGAGGCCTTTCTGATTGGACAGTGCACAAAGACAGAGACAAGACAAATCGCAACACTCGCTGCAAAGCACCAGCTACAGCCGATGATTTCCAGGAAGGAGGGCGAATCCCATCGTGACCTGGTGCCGTGGCAAGCAGCCATCGCCCCAGATGGATCAGAACATTTGTATCATGTGCTTTTGTTGAGATACAGTAGACATACCACAAAGTCTAGAGCCATTCCAGCTGATGTCGTTTTTCAGTCTTGTGATCAATCGCATGAGGATGGGTACGCTCCCCAAGTGGGCGGCTTGGAGGAGCAGCGTTCGGGTCGAGGGCGCGGAAAAAGGGTCCAGGGTGTCCCATACTGCCGTGGTGAAAAAAGGATTATAGAACTATATGATTTCAGGTTGCTGGGGTCCTTGATTTGGGAGAGTTTCATGGGTTGACCGATTCCAGTTGTAGAACGGACACTCTACGATGCGCAATAGAGCAGACGCTCTTCTCAGGTGCAGACTCACAGAAAGAGATTACTTCTCAGACCTTGCAGTTGCCCCAATGCGGACAATGCAGTTGGCTTTCAGGAGGGCGGCCATGATGGCAAATGGGATCAGTTCTCAACCAATGAGAAGATGCCTTGGCCCCCGGCTGCTTCATTCGGCTTCAGCAGAAACATGGCGGTTCAAATCGGGCTTTTTGAGGTACGGCGTGTCCACGACCTGGCATGAGGCGCGATCGGGCGGTTTTGGTTGGTGTCTCCGGTTCTGGAGATAGGAAAGCACCAGAAGGGCCAGTGGAATGTTGCAGTGCTTTGTAACCTGAAGGGCCAGGTCACCAACCCTTGCACTTCCGTCGCGATTCTGCGGTGGTGATTTGCCAGGACTTCTACACGACAAAGCTGGACAAGAGCCAGGTTCCGCAAGACAAGCGGGACAAGGCTTGGCAGGGGTTTGCCATTCAATGAAAAGTCATCCTAGCCGCTAGCCAAGTCAATCGACAAAGTCTCACTGCGTGCAGCATTTCAGGGCATGCGGTGAAGTTGTACCCTGATATTCTGGTACAACAGACTGTCTTCAAATGGGGTCATTGATTTGAGACTTTCACGTTTGGAAAATCAAGTACCTGTCCCTCAGGCTGAACAGATTGCTCGTGAGATTGAATCCGGCAACATGCACACAGAGGCACGGGTGGTCGTTCATCCCCAACAAAGTTCAGTTTCAACTTTGGAGTAAGGGTTGTCATCATCATCAACATAATAACAATAATATTAATAGTAAGTAATCATCGTCATCATCATCATCATCATCATCATCATCATCATGGTCATCGTCATCGTCATCGTCATCGTCATGATCATCATCGGTCTATTGGATGAAAGAACAATTCTTCCATTCCGGCGCTATGCTTGGGCCTTTTTCCCAGGTGGAAGACCGTGTCGACGGTGACGGGGATGGTGATGAAGAGGCCAGGACAGAAGCAGCGGCGAACACTGCCGTGTCGTGGGTGAAATCGATCGGATGCGGTGGGGTAATTTCAATACGCGGGAGGCTGAGCGCTGCGTTTGAATACATGTTGCGCTCCAGGCTCGTTTCAGCGCCGCCCAACCACTGGGTGGCAACAACACGAAGGCTGCCGTGCATCACACACACAGTGTTGGACGAAGAGAAAGAAGACTCTTGCGGTGAATGGATAGACCTCTTTTCAAGTCCATGGTTGCAAGAAGCTGAATGGATGTTTTTCTTTATCGACATTTATATATCGACAATAACATTCTTCGATTTGGCACGTTCGTTTTGACTCGTTTTCAATAGCAAATGACATGTCAATTCCTTTTTTCGTGACTCTTGACTCATGTCGATCGTCTGTAGATCCCAGTCATGGCCGGCGGACTCCAGCTCTCCCGGCCTCGATCGTCTCAGGCGTTGGCCAAGCCGCTCCCCCAGGTGCCCGAGCGACAGGCGACGTGATGAGACGTTCCGGACGTCGGACGTTCGGAGATTGAAGCTTTGTTTGGTTTGGGAATGAAGCAACACAATTCATCATGTGTTTCTTTTTGACAGGACATGGCTGCCATGCAGGACAGTGCTGATCTTAGCATCCAGGGCCTCAACTTGGAAGACTGATCTAGTGTTGGTCCTCCGGACGGTGCATCTGAGGAAGTGGAAGAAAGGGAATGATTTCAGAAATGAAGCGCATCAATGCTGCTTGGCTATGCTTGGCAGTCTGGAGTTTCAGACCGTCGGATCACATCGACGAGTCAAGTAGTTCTTGAATTGGACGATCATGTGGAGTTCAATCGGCCTAAATGAGCATCATACAGATCGGATGTGCGAAGGCGCTGAACCTGGAGCCGACCTCGGCAAAGCACGATGAAAGTACCGCCCGAAGTAGGCCGATGCGGATTTCGAGCAGATCCAGTATAGGCGGTGCTTGATCAATATATATATATATACATGTAAGTGTTGGATGTCTCACTGAATAGAATGAAACACAACAACTGTGGGGTTGTATCAACAGTCTGCAATCTGTCGACCAAGAGAAGCAACTCCAGGATGAGCATGAAGGATGCAGCCAGCCGCAATGCCCAACGACTGCAAGCTTCGAACTTGGTGTGATAGCAGATCTCCACCAACTACGAGTCCACTCTTTTTGACATCAGACTGGAAAGGTGTTTCGCCACAGCCTCTTAAACAAGAGTCCCAGATAGATAGATAGATAGCCTCTCATCGGTGATTGATGACCAGTGGAGAAGTGTGAATCCACGGTGACCCTGTGACCCTGTGACCCCTTGGTGTGCTTTCGGATCCATCCATTTTCCAATCGGTTCAGCTGGAGAAGCTGGACTTTCCAAGGGGAACAGTGCTGACTTAAAGAGTGAGTTCCAGCAGTCCTCGCCCTCAGCCCACGAGCGGAGCAAACGTCTTCAGCCGTGCGTTGACCGGACGCCACGTGCTTCATATTGGCTGTGCTTTTGCACCCAAAGCTTGGACGGTTGACGAGCAGTTCCTCGGTGGTCAATGAGGTCATTGGAAATCATCGCTCAACAGGATGCCAAAAAGCGAGGCCGTGGACCCATGAAACGAGGTGAGCGCGGAATTGGCGCGGCGCGGCGACAGATCCAGCGAGCCTAAAGCCAATGCTTGCCGCCGAAGGGATGGTTTTGGTGGACATCAGCCCAGTCGATCGTGATTTTTTGGGCCCCCCTTTTTGCCGAATGTTTCGGTCATGCCGCCCTGCGCATGTTTGGGCTGTTTCACCCGGGTCTCCCCGGTTCCGCGAAAAGCTGAGTGCGTCGGAGACGGGGTGTCTCGGGTCCGTGCGTTGCCTCGCCGAGGCAAAAATCCTGAGCAGCAGTGGGAGGGCCAAAACTCTCAGGCCAAGGGATGAGGGATGACAGGGATGAGGGTATGTGGAAGAAGTTTTGAGGTTACCCACAATGAAGGGGCCACCAGCATTTAGTCTTTGAATTTTCTCCCAGCAATGGGCTTAGCTGCTATTTCGTCTTGCAAAGAGAAGGGCTGTAAGGATTCCAAGATTGGCATTTTCCAATGACTCTGAATGGAAAAGGAAGCCGCGACACGGTGGATCTTGTCACTTCGACTGACCCAATTGCACCGACACCTTTGTGCCAGAACCAGAAGGGCAGCGGTGGTGGAGGCCCCGTTCTCAGCTAGTCTGGGTCGTTGTCGAATGGTTTTCAGCCGGGAGAAATCGTCGAGAGTCGAAAGGCTTAGCTGCCATTGATGGTGCTGTTGGCAATCGAGCTGATTCAAGGGCTTGAGAGTTGCTGCGAGTGGACTAGCTGTCACTGAGGTGCCATGGTGAAAGCAGGAGATCAATCAAGAGGGCCGCTGGTCTGAAATCATGACTTCTTGGGGAGGTCCACATTACATTGAAGCGACCTGGAAACACTGACAGGTTCAGTTTGGTAGGAAGAACTCCGCTGAGAGGTCAGACCACTTGAAACAGGGTCCAAACAGAGTCCTGGAATTCCCATCGAATTTCTGGTCTCTACACAGGTTGAAAGTTAAGCACTTGCCTTTCAACAGCAGATACCTTTCTGCATTCGGCTGCCAACTGGAAGCTCACCTAGGCAGAGCGGCTCTTTCTCCTTTAACCCGAAGGCTCCGTCGTTCACGCTGAATCCGCAGGCTCATCCCGGTGAGGGTGTTGGGTCCCATGCGAGCGACGGTGAGAAGCGATTCCATGGTGTTCATCAATGGCCCCTGACGGTTGCTGTGCGCATTACAGGACTATTCTGCATGAAACACATGCACAGCGTCTTCATTCCCACAAGACCTTTCAATGCTGTATCGCTGTAGCCAGCCCCTTCTCCCACTATTTCAGTTTTTGCCTTTGGCCGTTTCGTTTCCATCCAGGCCGGTGAATTCATGCCGGGTGGAGCTCAAGCGCAGACGCCGGCGAAGTCATGAGCTCAGCCAGCCGCGGGGTTTCATGTTTTTTTTGATTTCTTTTCCGGTGATGAGAAAGGATGGGGAAGTATCTTTCATCACTTTGTTTGCAACTTGGTCTCCCACGACAGCTTGGAAACGTGGGGTCGCTTTGAAACGCGGGGGGTCGGAAGAAGAGGAGCACTTGAACGAGGTGGACATGGACCAGAAGACGCATCTCCAAAGCCACAGGGTATTACTTCGTTTTGAAGGAGATGTGTCTTCTGGTCCATGTCACTGGTGGCAAACCTCCAGTCTTATCCCCCCAATCTCGTTCTCGCCTTCGGATCCCGCCACGGCGAGGATCCCGTCGGTTCTTACGTCGTGCGTCGACAGCGGTTCACGACGGAGCTGTCGACAGCTGGACCTTCACCGAGGGCCTCGGGACCTTCACCGAGTTTCAGCACCTACTCGAAGCCGCTGGGCGGAGCGCATGGAATGCGGAATCGCATGGCATGGAAGGGTGGGAGGGTTGAATAGAATGTGGTGACTCTAAAAATGGATGGGGATTTCAGAAGTCCGACAACACCTTTGTGATTACAGTGGTCTCAGAGTAGATGG